GGGGGGGGTTAAAAAAAGGCTTTATACAAAACGTTCCTCTGTTGCACATTGCAGGTGTTTGTCGGGCGTCCTGCTTTGTGGGGCCTGACCCACAGCGGCCAGGCTGGAGTAGAGAAGGTGCTTGGCATCCTCAAGGAGGAGCTGGACCGATCCATGGCGCTGGCAGGTGCGGAACCACACTCTATTCAGACTGTTAACAGATCCAACTACTTGATGAGAATGGCTCCTTACATGCTATGATTTCTCTTCCAGGGTGCAGCAATTTGAAACAGATCGTCAAGAACATGGTCGTGCATGAATCGTTTTACCACAAACTATGAGTATTTATCGCGGTCATACGCGTATACGTTGATATCGATGTCAGGGGCACTACGCTCTTTTGAATGAAGTTGTAATATAATGACTGTTAGGAAGACCATTCCCCCACACAATGAATAAATACTTATTTCTGCACTAGCCTATCTTGAGAAAGGGCATTTTCTCAAGAGATTATAAAACATTCCCTCTCCGTGAATTAAGCACACGGGTCGGAAGCCGCCTGAATTCAAAAGTCTTGCGCTCTTAGGTCAGTGAGTCCACAAATCTAATAAAAAACAAACAAACAGAAGATGGTTAGTCTCTTGTTCCGAAAGCCTTCTGAGCTTCAAAATATCTTTATGTACAACAAAAATTATGCTTCAGACCATACAAAAATTGTATACTTTGAAATAGTACTCAAACCCATACGACTTTTATCTAGCGAGGTTGGTGCCAGTTCGTCTCCATTTTTAAAGCCTGGCGCTCTACCTCGAATCTTGAAACATACATTCTTGACCAATTTACGGCAGCAAATATATCTTGTACCCGTATCTCCTTCAAAATTGCGTTTGCAAGAGAACTAAATTATTAAGTGTGACAAGTACTTAAGCCTACCAGACAGGATCGATAATTATATCTAATGCGACACAGTGTCCGCCATATTGGAAATCGGGGTGAAAAGTAAACTGTCTGCACCTGTCCCTGTTTAGATTTTTCTCCAAAAATGGATGACGAAGGTGAAGGATCACCAGAATATCCATTGCACGAATGTGTCTTTCTTGATAACCCTAAATTGCTTTGCACACTCGCAAGAAAATTAGACGTCAATGAACAGGATAAACATGGTAAGTGAGATTTGGTGCACCTATAACCTCATTAAAAATTATGAAATTTTGGATTTGTTTGTTTTTGTTTTGTATATTCCTCATGAAAATTACAAATGACGTCTTTACTGCATGCGCATTGTTCAAACATTGCTCTGTTAAAACTAATGTCGGCTGTGACGATATGTATTTCGGATATTCCCTTGTAGTCGTTGTGGTGGTCTTGTTGTTAAAATGGTTTATGCCATAGTTTTAGAAGACAATACCCTCAGTGCGAGATTGTTCACGTCGTGAATATGTCTCTAGTCGAACATTATTGCTGCTAAGCTGTTGCCCTTTGTACTGCTTTTTATTAGTAAAATCTTCTCAGAAAAGTGGCCTTTGAGCTTCGTGCTCATTGTATAGTTTTGAAAAAATCTATGTCAATGATTTTACAAAGTGTTAAATCTTTCAAACTTAAGAACCATTCTTCTATTCAACTCAGTTTTTATAATTGATTTAATTACGATAGTATGGAACACTGTCAGTTGTCATATTGCTCTATATTTTATTATTTTTCAGGGAATACTCCTATGCATTTAGCTTGTATGCTTGGAAGGAAAGGTGAGTCCCTATATTTTCTTCTTTTTGGTCTGTGCTATCTTTTGCATCCATTGGGTGGTCTTAGAAGCAAAGAAAAATCATTTAAATTGAACATTTCATTTAATTTTTTTCAGAGCTTGTGCATCTATTACTGTCACATGGATCATCACCAACTGTACGAAATTTGTCTGGATGGAGTCCTCTTTCAGAAGCAATTAGTTATGGTGACCGGCTAACAAGTAATTGTCTTGAAATACAAGTGCACAACTAGTAATGAATTTTCAAATAGTTACTTGATCAATTACATCTTAAAATTTTTCAAACAGTCTCTTCAATTTTACGCAAAGTAAATATATTAAGTCATAACCGCAGAGATTCTTTTATGCCAAAGCTTGCAAAAGTATTAAATGGCATGGATGACTTTTGCCTTGACTTTAAGTGGGATTTTCAAAGCTGGGGTAAGTTAATATTTGTTCTAGTCATAGACTTGCTCATATTTATTTATTTTCCACGATCTTTAACCTTTCACCTCCAGTTCCACTGGTGTCACGTATACTGCCATCTGATGTGTGTCGCCTTCGGAAAATGGGCTCAAATATTCGACTGGACACAACCCTTGTGGATTTTGATGATAAGAGATGGGTTCGAGGAGACCTGAGTATATTTTTCTTTGGAGAACAGCCAACAAGTCATTCATTAGCTATTGTTGACAACCAAATGGGAGTGTATCAATGGATTCAGTATACTGGGGTAAATATAAATGTTTATTTGATTACAAAGGTTGAGATTTGTTAAGGAATTTACTAAAACTTACAATTGTCTGTTTCAAATAAAGGATTCTGATAAAAACCATGAAGAAGAAGTAGACTTTCTCATGAGCACTGATATTGTTAATGCTCATATATCTACCAAACATATGCACTTCACCCGCTTGCAAAAGGGTTGGGTGTTTAGAGAAGACAAAACCGTAAGTCCGGGAAGGAATTGTGTCTTTTCTGTCTTTCCTGCTTTAAATGAGTAATTACTGTATGTATTTCTCTCAGGAACTCGTTGGAAAATACAATGCAGATTTTTACACCATACATGGAGTCACCTTCAAAACGTCCAAACGTCGAGAACATCTTTCTAAAGAAGACGTCCAGAAAAACAAAATGGTTTATGACTGGTTCATGAGAGATGGACCAGCACCTGATGTGTATGGAGTATGTATTAAATTATCTCAGTCTTGCTCTTAGCCTTCTAACCTAGCTTGATTTTTCAATGGTCGACAATGGTAAATCTCTTTTTCCTCTTCATAGATCCCACCACCTCACAGAAAATCATTAACTCCTCCTCCAAAGTCTAATGTTACTTGGGCAGACTACATTTCTTCAGAACCTGGAAAACATCTACCTTTAGGGAGATCAATTATTTGTAAAGACACATCCAAGGCTTACAGAGCAACTGTGGCAATGGTATTATTTGTATATGTCTTGTGCCCAATTTTGAGTAGGTACTTTATTTACATATTGTGTACATAAGTCATCTGTTTTTGGTGTTCACAGAGCCCAGACTTTCCCATGTCTGTTGAAATGTTACTGAATGTTCTACAAGCTATAGCTCCTCTTAAGCACTACAGCAGACTTAGAGAAATAATCGGAGTAAAACTACCCCCCGGGTTTCCTGTCCAAATTGGTATGTCTTCAAAGGTTCATCAGTCAATGTCTGTTGAGTTTTTAAATCTAATCTAATCTAATATCTTTTTTCTCTTTGTGTCCTTGACATTTGAAGATGTTCCTATAATTCCAACAATATCAGCAAAAGTTACATTCCTGGACTTTCAGTTCACAAATGAGTTGAGAGCACGAGACTTCACAATACCTGTTGATTATTTAGAGGATAGGGGAAGGTAAGTGTTCATGTTCCAGTTGCACTCTTCGTAACTTTGGCAAATTAATCATGATTCCTTGTCATTATTTGTTTCTTTAAAGGTTTCCAGGGCTCTGACCACCTAGTCAGTTTGTTCTGATCGATGAGTGCCCTGCCTCAATTACTAACAAAGGAAATCTTGGGTGCTACTGCCCTCATAACATGTGCGCCCGGGGTCTTGATGGTCTTGCTGTAAGTTTATTGCTCGGTCCCAGTCTTGCCACACATCGTGCACTGCATTTGGAGAGTGATAAGCAGCCAAAAACTTCCCTTGTGAAGGTCATCCTGAAACATAATGGGAATGGGACCCTCAACCATTCCTGAGTTGTGTGCTGTGTTTGTTAATTTCCATCTGGACCAGATTCCATTTGAATAACCTAGTCTGTTTTATCTACATCTCTGCCTGTGCAAACTAGTCTTGTTTTGTCTTAATGCAAATATTTCTTGAGAGATTGGAGAAATTCGGTACAAAACCATGGATGTAAGGGTAGAAAAATTAATGGGAATTAGTGTGAAAAAAGTGCTTTAGTAATTGATTTTTTTGTTTTCCAACCTCAGACTGTAAAACAGCAGAGGATGGCTCTTCAGGTTTCAAGAGTGAACACAAAAAAACAAATAAAAATTGATTCATTAGCAAATAAGCAGGTTTGCATTTTGTAACCCATCTATACTGTACTATAAATTTCAGTTTCATGTGAACCAGTAGGATGTGTGAGTTTTAGAATCCTGAAAATTAGATTACATTTTTGCCAATGTGTATTAAATCTATCTTGCCAGAGTTAGTGAATCAAATCAAAGCTATTTCTTCACAGCTATTAATAGTGAGAATAATTTCATTAAGATACGACTTGCTGCAACGACTATGAAATTTGTTAAGTTAGACTTATGTTATTTGCCTCTTTTCTTTTTAAGGGGTTAAGTTATAGCAATATTTATTTTGTTGTATTCCTTCTGCAAGGTATTATTTAAGTATCCTAGGAATCAATCCTGAGGTATGATAACTTACACATATGTTATCTTAATTTTGTATGGTCCCCACTTTATACATAAGGAATAATAGTGTTTAGCTTTGGGCCCAAATTCTCCAAAACAATTGTTTTGCTTTAATCTCTCCAGGGTTTTCCAGTTGTGATCATCAAATTTGTCATTATTAAGTGCAGATGTTGCTCATTCCAGTTTGCCTCTCCCATCCCTTTATACATTGCCAGGTTCCTACATTAATTTTTATTTTTTGCTCTACTTGCATGAATACTATTCAAAGAACAGTAAAGACAGATTGTAATGTGTAGAAGCTACTGTATCTTACTCCTTTTTAGGTGTGCATTTTATTTGCATTTTTACTGCTGTTAAAGTACTTTTTTTTTTTAAATCATCCTCAAGCGTTATGACATTTGGGTATCTTTGTCACATGTTGCTGCCATTATTGGTCGCAGATTTTTCTGCAACCATAAGACCTGTAGGTATGCTTCACTTGACAAGCAATATTAGACATGACTGAACCCCCAATCTTATCATTATTTCAAATATTGTATTGTTAAGTGAGTAGGAATCATACTCGTGTTAGTGTAAATTTTCATTGTTTAGAGTGTACTTACCTGTTCAATTTTTCACCAAATCTCAATTTTCTTTAAATGTCCACTGTCTTTTACAGTGTGCACAAATACAATTCATTGTTAGTAGTTAAAAGTTTACATATGATTATGAAGTAAGCTGTGTATTGAGTATTGAACGTAGTTATAAAGCTGCTTGGCATGTGTTCTTAGGGCTGGAAATGAAAAACAATTTGAGTTTCTTCCATTTAGAATTTATTTGCTACTATTTCTGAATGGTTTTCCAGAAAGACACTGTGTGACAGCCCCATTTGTTGCTGGGCTCTATCAAATTCTTTTATAATGCTTTTGCCATTCATTATTCCCTTACCCACATTTTTGTGAAGTCTTGAATCCAATGGATTCTGGTTTTGTTGCTTGTTGTATAAAAAGACTGTTTAACCCCTTTATAGTTATTTTGACACAAAGACTAGACAATTCTTTGTTGCAAGGTTCCTGTTTTGATTTTAATTCTGTAGTAAGGCTGAAAATGTATTGCCTTGCTGTTGCTGTGTACTAGAATTTTTATTGTGATTTAGATGAAAGAAACAACTACGGTATATGTGTGTTAGTGGTGCTACTGAAATTTGATGTATGAAGTATGAATCAAGAAATGCTGTATATTGGGGCTAGTTACATTGCTTGGTATAGCCACGGGATGATTTCCTGTTTACATGTACAGCTTAGTTACACGGTTGTTCCTACTGCAAACTTGATTGCTGCTTTGTTGTGTGCTTGCACTAGTTGTGTGAAGCTTTTAAGAATTTAATGGTTTTATTTAATCAAAACACTTGTTGAAGACTATTTTTCTGTTATTGTAGTCATTATGTCCTTAAAATTTAGGGACAGTGCCGCTGTACTGTATAGCTTTGCTCTCATGTTCTTTTGGTTAGCACAATCAAACTCTGTGCATCTCATAATACTAAATGTTCTTAGTGTAACGTATAGTTACCACAAGAGTGCAGGAGATTTTCAACCTCTATGATATGATTCAGGTCATTTTATGGCCCTGCAGCACTCAATATGTTATGTTGAATATCTTGTTCGATTTTTGCTTGTGCAATAGTGTGATTTTGTCATTGTTTGTTTTTGTTTTTGAAGGCTTTTAATTTTGTATCCTTCTGTGATAAAGTCATGATTGGTATTTTGAAGGGACTGTAGGAAGTTGATTTACTTTTAAGTATACTATTTTAGCATCTCATTTTCACAATGTCTGTTGTGCTCTTGTCGTTATCAGACATTAACAATAAGAAAACCAGAAAAAAAATTACAGTAATTAAAGATTTTTTGACAGTGCTATATGTGATTGAGGGTTTTTAGGATTGTGGTTTGTCAGTTAATTACTCTGACTTAACTCATAATCCCATATGTTATATATATATATCTATATTTGATATTTGAAATATTTTCATGTAATCCAATGTCATAGGGGAAAATTTTAAACTTTTTGTTGCATGAATCAGAAGAAGCAGGCAACCACTCTCTAGTGCATTTATTGAGTCCCTGTAAACATGTGTTTAGTGAATAGCGTCTTCTGATCGTGACAGTCCCTCGTAAATTTCTTGCTCAACCTCTCATTTAAGTTAAAGAAAAAGTGTATTTATCCTCATCCTTGGAATGCTTGAATGCTCACACGTTTACTTACACATGTTCATTAAAGTATGAAAGAAGTCTGCTTATGTCAGTCGCTTTGATGTTGATTTGACCTGTGTAGAAAAAAAAGTAAGTCATCCAAAGAGAAGTTACTTCAGACTAAGTTTTTTGGGCAGAGTAAATATCTTCTGGTTCTAGTGATTACTTTTAGTGCTGTCAGAATATTCTTTGTGCCCATGTGTAATGCGCCATATGAGGCTTCTAGTAACACTAAAATCATTTCATTGAAAGCTGTTGCATTTTCCTCTGTGAAGTTTCACTCTTTTGAAAGACGCTGTGGCTTCCAGATAATAGCTTATGCTTTTTGTAGGTATACCAACCTGCAATAATTCCTCTGGAATATCTGTGTTGCTACTACTTTTGATTATCTGAGCATGTAACAGTTTTGGTTCTATTACAATAATATTTTTACTTGAATCTTGACATATCAAGTCCAGGTATGTTAAACTTTCTTTGCAATTTTAACACATTGAAAGTTTATTGACATTTCCTATTTAAGGAAGGACTGACAGATTCCAATTTAACCATTGCACATCGTTTTCATCCCAAATAGCCATTTTGTCACTAATTCTGTTCATGTTCATCAATTTCTTTCTTCCCCAAATCAGGTTTAAATGTTCACCCCTGTAGGACTTAAACATTTTCCCTTTGTCATACATGGAATGACTACAAATGTAAGAGTTGTACTGTTTAAATTTATTAAGTATTTAAAGAACCCAAACCAAAGTTTATGTTTTCACCTATTTTGTTGATTATTTTGTATACATAATAATGATAGCTCTCATGTTTCAACATGTTCGAGAGATATAAATGTAGTTTGAGAATACATTTTTGAACCACACAGCCGTGCTCATTTTTCTCTTTCCACTCTGTGCCCGGGTTCCTGTTTGTGGACATCTAGCCCACTCACTCATTATTCGGATGCCTCTACGTAATTTATCGCCGCTTAGCTGTCGAGTAGGGAGGTTTTATTTAGGGACATATGGTGTTTCCAAACACGCCGCTTTGTATGTTGTAAAAACAGTAAAATCGTATGGCTTTTAAACTTTTGTTACTCTGATAATACCAGAGGTGGCTGACTCACGCCGCGCACTTTTGTGGTGATACGGGTCGCCTACTCGCACGGGGCCATAAGGGGCCGTGTGCATGCGGTGCAGTACACTACGAAAGTGCGCGGCGTGAGTCAGGCACCTGGTCCTGGTATAGTTGCAGAGCGAGTATACTTGTAGCGATCACGTTGGGATCTCCTACGAACTTCATACATGTAGTTTGTTGATGCCGATTTAGTGCTGCCACAGCGGATGGCTGGAGTCCTGATCCTTGTGTGATATGGCATATCAAACGATACCGCACTCCCCTTCCCCCCCAAAAAAAACAATACGTGAGATTTCTGGACGGCCCCTCACGAGGTCGGGCCAACGCTGCCAGTCGCTCCCCCGCCTTATCCCCATAGGTCCGTCATCCAAAGTTCTGGCCTCAAGTCTTCTCAAGTGGTCCGGCTGTCTGTCTGACCGGCGGCCGGCCGTCCGCAGCCTCCCCTCCAGTTCGCGACTGGAATCCTTATCGACGGAGGACTCGAGCTATTTACCCCGTCCCACCGTGTTGCTGGCCGTGTTGCGGACGGGGTTGCAAGAGGGGTGGGGTGGGGTCGTGGGGTGGCCGCACTCGGCCGCCCCGAGCTCCAGCGGCACGTCCTCGGGGGGCCGTCAAAATAAGATACGGTTTGGCAACCGACCGACCGTCAACCTCGGAACGACCATAGGGCGACTGAAATATCGTGTTCGTCGTGTTCGAGGGTTTTCTCACACGCTGAATCCAAATCTGGTTGTGCCGAAGTCGTCCACGTCTGCGGGCCCGGGGACGTCATTGGGGACCTCCCGAGAAACGCCGATGACACTCCCACGACAAATACGATTCGGCTCCAAACGTCGTGTACCTGGGCTGGTGCATATTTCTTAAAAGTCACCAAATATAATTATTATTAAGCAAATCGCCCATAATGGTTTATTATCCTGATCATTTCACTATTGTCAGATGGCACTTCCCTGGCGTTGCCGCCTGGAGCCACACAACGATGCACGGGACGGGAAGCATCCCCAAAGGATCACATCCTGGACAAGTGAGGCGGGATTGCCTATCCCAGGAAAGAATCACATCCCGCGACCACGATATGTCGGTGAGTATGCCGTAATTATTGCTCTCCCCCTTTGCCGTGCCGCGTCCCCTACCCCTCCTCCTCCCCACCCCCACCGCGCATTTCCCGCGCCTTTATGGAAACGTAAACAAACAGTGAAACTCGGTGCACGATAATCGGCGTTTCTGCCAAATACCGATAAAACCTACTCATATAATTGATGATCATAGGATTTTAACCAGAATTTTAGAGTGGACATCGTCGCTTTTCGATATTAATCGCAAGGTATAGTGCTTGATTGTTTCCGGTCCGGAATATTGAATTGTTCCATTCCGGTTATTGTTGTAGGAGGTTAGTGTTCTCCTTGTGGCTCAATGTTTCCACGCACAATTAAGTTGTAAGTTATTTTTTGAGGCCGAGTAAATGATGCCCGTGATGTTAAATAACTTGGCTCACTGTGAGCTTTGTTAAACGGTGTTGAATGGGTAGACTCCTCCAATCCATGCAGTATGCTAAATACTGTTGTAGGTCACTCATGCAAATGGGTGAACTGCCAGTATGTTTTATTACATATCATATATTTTACTCTATATTATTCTCGTGGAACAGGAAACTTTATTTCTTTCTGGTTGGGGTGCAAACCGAGTGGTACTATTTGCGTAATCCCCCAAACAATCAATCAATGTGCGTTGCAGATAATTTGCAGCTGCCCCTTTGCACTTAACGCTTAGTCCAGTGCCAAAATTAGTTATTTGAAAAACCATGGTCATTTAGAGACGCATGGGGGTAGAGGCATTTAAGAGTGTATTGTATGAGTAAATTATATGTTATTAATAGTTGGTGAGCGCTAAAAGTACCATTTAATATGATTGCAGGAACTCGGCCCAGAAATGTTCTTGACATGAGCAAGAGAAGTCTATGGAGTCATTTTACCCAATCGAATAGGTGAGTTGACATGACAGTAACCGCCAACGCTGGTCCAATTTGTCTCTGTACAGACACTATGAGGAGCTTCCTTTCATGTGCATCAAAGGGTTGTTTTTGATGTTTTTTGTGGTGCCTTGGTTCTTTGTTGTCGATTTCAATCCTCCTCTGTCAAAATCCAGGCTGATTTGTTATCACTGAAAATGTCTTTTTAAAAATCTTCGCAATTTGGAAAATTTCTGGAATTGGTTTGGATTGGTGGGGCAGACTCCTTTTTCACATGCTCTGTCTAAATATCATGGTGCCGAGCCGACCCACTACAGCAGAGTTCTTTGCCAGTGCGCCTTAGGTAGCCTACCCGCCCTTAGTTAGAGAGACCAGCTCATATAAAACTCAAGTTTCTGTGGACAGTGGTGGTTTCTGACAGAAACAAAGGTAGTTTTGTGGCGCCTGGTTCACCCCTGTCGATTCGACTACTTTTCCGTCGAAATCCGGACCCATCAATTTTCGCTAAAAACACAAAGGCTATAGCCTTTGTATATTTTGCCAAAAATGAAAAAAAATAAAAATCGCTGGAAATGATTGGAATTGGTCTAGGAGATTCGCCTTTGACCTCCTCTGTCGAAATTGCGTGCTTCCTGCCTCTTTTGCACCCTGTTTCTTCGACTATAAAATTGCGTCTTTGGTTTGTTGCAGGAAGACCGGCCTGGAGGTGCACCTGTCCTGGACATCAGCCGTGCGGCCCATGGAATCATCAGATATAAGTTGAGTTGGCGTCACAGTGATTACAGCTGGTCCAGTTATTTTATTTTATTGTAAAGTCCCTTTGAGTAAGCTTGAATGATATTCTCTCTGGCACCAAACTTTGTTGGCCATCTAAAGTCACTTTTCACGACAGGGGTGTTTTAGAACCTATGGTAGTTTTCTGATGCCATAATTTACCCCG